ATTTTTCTTTTCTTTATCTTATTCTCCCAGCCCCCATGTCCTCATTTGAACCTGGGCAGGTCTCTGGGCTCAGATCTGCCAGGATGGCTGGAAGTAGGCCCCCATTTTGAGTTCTCTGCCTGGGCTGCACTGTAGGTCTTCTTCATACCTGTGCCCATAGGACCTTAGTACCAGGGAGAGATGAACCAAAGGGCTCTTAATTAAGCCCAGCATGATCAAAGTTTCAGACCCAATTGCTATCCTGTTGGTTTTTACTCCTGACTCTGCCATTGTGTGTCTTTAGGAGAAAAAAAAAATCACTTCCTCCTTGGAATTTTCCTTTACTTAATTAGGAAATAAATGATTTTTTAAATGCCCTTTCTGTTATGGAAATGGTAGTGTAGAGGACAGTTGAGCATCTCTACAGCCTCCCTCAGTGAAGTCTTTTAAGGGTTAATAAAGACAGGTGCTGGTATTTGCACAGCTCTTGCAAACAGGCGTTCCCTTGGGGACTTGGGGAGGCATACCTGAACACTGCTTCCTTCCTTCTGTCACTTGTCCTGTTCCATGTGCACGCACAGACAACCATGATAGTCATATGTAATGTGTTTTGGAGTGCAGTGTATTGCTCTTTTCTGAAACTTTTTCCCTTTCTTCTTTTTTTGTCAACTTTCTGCATTGGCAGAGCATCTTGGGATTGAATTTATGGGTATGGAACAATCATCATTCCTTTTGGCCTACAGAATTTAGAGCCTATGAGCTGAAATCTTTTTCCCTTCCTACTCTTACTTTTCAGTTCCTAACTAATTTCCTTTCCTTTAGAAGGGATCATACAGCTATAACAATGATTTCTCTGCTTTCAATCTATGATTAGTTCAGTGAAATATAGCTGAGTGCAGCAGATTTTTTAAATTCCCAAGCTACTTAGAGTTCAAAATCTTTCCCACTTGCTGTGAATTTATGTAGATCCCACATTGTTTGATTCAATGATGGGACCTGACTATTCTGTTGTTTAAAAGCTGAGGCTGGTTGGACTGGTGCATAGGTACACATAGATACAGGGCAGATCAAACCAGGGGCCTGAAAACAAATGAAGTTTTAAAAGCATCATATATACAGCACATTTTAGAGCAATGGAAGTTTGATATATAATGTAAAAATCACTACTTAGTAATAGTCCAGAAGACCCTTACACTGTAACCCAATGTTATTTTTATACACAGATTTAAATTGCTTGTTTTCTGGAGATAGTCAAGTACATTATCTTATGAGTAAAGAAATAGAAAGCATAAAGGAAACTTGTGCTATTTTCAGTGGAAATTCCATTGCTAATGGAATTAAATTGGAATCACTAAGATTATCCAGCCATGTAATCTCACACTGTAAACAAACAAACAAAGTCTCCTGTGAACAGAGTGTAGGCATACTCTACAAAGCCTCGGTCCTAAATAATGGGATTTGAAGGCTGGTCAAGGGAAGAGCAGGGAGCTGGCTTCCTAGCCCAGTCTCCACATTTCTTTCTGAATGCTTCCTTGCATCCCTGAGTGGAGTCTGTAGCCAACAATGTCATATCCTGATTAGCAGACTCTCTGATACCACTCAAGTCATTCTGTGACATACAGCGTGACATAATACAGCAAAGACACCCACTTCTGGTGGGGAACGTTGCTGTTTATCCCTAATGTACAGCCTTCCGTTGGTGGAAAATGAAGCCATTGCAGACTCTAGCCTTTGAAAGTTCATTTCTACCCCCCCACCCCCCCCAAAAAAAAAACAGAAGAAAATGTTATTTGATTTGGGGAAAAGCTAACTCAGGGCCCTTTTTCCTCAAGAAGAGAATTTCCTAAGACTGGGGATCAGCATTGACCTATCCCATAGAGAGAAAAAAATCCACCACTACCCCTGACTTTTACCACTAACAGGATTTTCCCTTATAGCTTTCCTTTAATTTTCCTCATAGCTTTGGAATCTGATTATAGAACTTGCTATTTCCATTTCCAAACAATGAAGTCAAGTAATTGACGTCTCTCTCAGTAGATCTTTTAAGGTTTAGCAAAGACACATGCTGGTATTTGCAGGCTTCAAAAGATGCATGATATCCTAGACAGGTCTATTGCATTCTTTAAAAAAATTCTAATATTAAAGTTAAACTGAGAACCAAGGGTTCTGTCTCTTAACCTGGACACATGAGACTGAAAATTGCATTTAAACTGATTCACTGTGATGTATCTAACTTTACCACAAAGGCAGGAACATTTCCACTTACAGAGACAGACCTACCCATGAGACTGAGTCTTGATTTTTAACACTGTCTCTTATTTCCTCTTGTATTGTGGAATCTATCACACAGGGAAAAAAATGTGAAGGAAGAAAAAGGCTAAAGGAATCCAGTATTTTTTAATCAGTATTTTTGCTATTATTTATCAAATAGTTTTCCTCTAACACATTTATATAGAAGAAGTTACCTGATCTAGCAAACTCATGAAAAAAAAATCAAATAGAACTTGAGGGAAGACATTTGTAATCAGTATTGAGATGAATACAGAATTTAATCCCCTATCTGTATTCCATGGGCTCTGCTGGTACAGTTTTAGTACTTTTTTTCATTGTCTTATCCTTTATAAAGCTACCTCTATTTCTATAAAGAGATTGTTTTATTGAGGAAGAATGGGCTTATTTTGTGCATGTGTATATATGTAGAGCTAGGGATCAAACCGAAGACATATCACATGCTAGGCAATTATCCTACAACTAAGCAACATCCACAGCTCCAGCTTCAATATTTTAAAACCAAGCAATAGAGTCAATGGGATTGGGCAGGGGAAAGTAGGAGCTTCCTTTTCTTGGCAACAATACTGATGCTTTTGTTTCTAAATCAATTCATCTCAACTGAAGAACCCTGCTCTGAGTTATGGGTCCCAGGGAGGAGAAGCAGTGAGAGTAGTATCTCTGCTTCAATACATATGCTAAAAACTGATCAGGGTGCCCAGGGTAGGAACAGAGGTCATCAGCTTGCAGATTACATTGCATAAAAATCCATCCCCTGTCCTGTGGCTCTGAAGGAAGCAATTAACAGAAGCACTCAACGTTCTGTGTCCTTGATTGACCTTTGAGGCACAAAAGTCCACAGCGCCAATTCTGTGTCTTCACAACACTATTGCACTGCAATGCACCAGCTGCTTTGCTTCCTAATTGTGGCTTCCACGTGACTGCTGCACAAGTTAGGAGTTATGCTGTATGGAATAACCCTTCCAACTCTGCATTCCCCTTTTCTTCCCACCCAAGCTCTTCCTCCTTCTAGTTTTCTTTTATTTATTTATTTTTCTTCCCTTAGTATCAGGCATGCTGTGCCAGGGACTTCAGATGGCTCCCTAACCTTTAACCTTGTTTTCCCTTGTACTTGATTTTCTTACTCTCTGTCATTCTGTCAGTTTGTCTGTCCTCTTCGTTTGTTTTTCCTTTCCACTTCCAACCCTTTCAGTTTGTTTTTGTATAATCTATGCAGCATTCTATTCTTTTCCCCACTGACTTCTATTCTTCTCCTGTTAATAATCAGTGCTCTATTAATTTGATTTGACAATGTTCTTGACCTGTTAACTGGAATTTGATTATTATGGGCTTGGCTTGTAGGAAATGTTTTGTTTAATGATAAGGTCCACTGTATCCCAGAAATCAAAATTCACTTTTCCATTTCAAGAAAACTTCCTGTGAGTTGCCCTCTGTCAGTGGAGAGAAAGGTATAGCTAATGAGACTGGGAGTATATAATGGAAATAGTCTTTGATGGCCCCTTGTGGTTGTCCAGATAAGACAACTCCATTTGTTCCACATTCCCCAGTTCTTGCCTAGCTTATTAAGTGTTGGCAAGTAAACACCATCTGTGTTATACACTGTGTACCAGTTGAAGTCTCCTTTTGAATGAACTCATGAAGATCTTCCAATAAATGTAATTAGACTCTTGGAAGCTCAGCTCCTAAGGGATCAAGGTCCTCATTAAGTCAGTGAATCTCGTTAACAACCTGACCTACCTTTATATAATCAAGTTATCCTCCAAAGAAACTAATTTGCAAATAGAAAATTTTCCATGAATTAGAGATTGATTGCATTAGGAGTAAAGTAGTACCTTTAGTTCAAAGTTCTAAGCCACATACTTCCTGAAGAGAGTATTCATTAGGTAATTTGCCAAGTTGGCTAGTTTAGGAATGTGCACTCTATTCCAAATTATATACCATTAATGCTTGTGAATGACATTGTCAAACAAATAAGTTATCTAAGTTCAACTGATGACATAATAACCATTTATCCTCTAAGGAACACATCTTCATTCTGCCCCAACCATCATACTGGATTTTCTCAGATACAGTGCCCACTAGTTCATATTTTTCTTGTGTTTCACAACTTCATGTCAAACTATAGGACTCTTGCCTTAATTTACTTGATCACTACAAGCCAAGTTCATATATGCAAATGTCTTGGTATTTATTTTTTTAGTTAGATCTGTCTCTTTGTAAAGACCACTGGACATGAAATGATGACATAAAATAGCTGGAAATGTAAAGAGGCACCAAGGAAGAGGGTGGAAGAGGGGCAAAGACAGAGGGAGGGTTCTCAGCAGTGTCATTCTAAACATCATTTCATTGGGATTGATTCCTGTTGTCTTTGCAAGAGATTCTTAAGTTTTTAATTTTACATGAGATTTTTTTAAAAAGATTTTTAACAAAATCATTATTTTATAATTATTGCTGATGTTGCTCCAGTTTAATATTATTTAATATATATAGCCATAATTACCATACAGAGTATAATATTTTTACTGTCAGTGGCCAAAACTGGCTTTCTTATTTATTTATGCTCAGTGTAATACAGAGCATGTTGTGCCTTAGACATGTCTACAAATGTACAGAATTGTTCAGTATTTATTTTTGTGTGAATGTCGATAATGTCATGCCGCATGCCAATGTTCTGTTGTAAGTCCCAATGACCATACGGGCCCTCGGTGACATCTGCTCTCACCCCTTTCCAGAAGCGGAGGAGCTCTACCAGAAGAGAGTGCTGACAATAACTGGTATCTGCATTGCCCTGCTGGTGGTTGGCATCATGTGTGTGGTGGCCTACTGCAAAACCAAGTAAATCTTCCTTCTCTGTACCTTCCTCTCTCCTTAGTGCAGAGCTGGTTTAGGTGGCCAGGGCTCTGTAGACCCATTGATCCACACCTAGGTCCCAGGAGAAAATGATGGAGGGACTTTTTCCTCTTGCTTTTCCTTCTGCATAATACAGTTTAGGGCCTTCCTTGATTATGTACGGTGGAAAGCTTTGCCGTGTGTGTGTGTGTGTGTGTGTGTGTGTGTGTGTGTGTGTACGTTTTTAGGAGATACTTAAGTGACCACAGCTCTGGTAATGGATAAGGTTTGGAGGCTTGTATAGAAGCCCAGAGTTCATGTGTGTATGTGCCCTTGTGTGTGCATGTACCACTTAGGGGTGTATGCAAGTGTCATAAGTATACTTGGACCCATCACTGCTGAGGACAAGTCTAGTTTGTACACTAGCTTAGGAGATAAAGAAAATGCTTGGTGGTCTTTGAAATGCAGGTTTGTAAAAGTCAGAGTTAATAGAGCTCAGTTCTATTTAATTGGGGTTGCCCATATAAAATACTCTCAAAATGTGAGGCCCACAAAGAAATCCCATGGGAGGAAAATGAAGCACAATTGAACATTGAAGGGATTGAAGTGAAAACTTTGAAATAGATATGTGGTCCCTCTGTATGGACTTTTCAACTTCATCCATACTAACAAATACTCTTTGACATGAGTTCTCTGCACTTCATTTTCCTATATATAGCTTCAACTTTGTTGGAAATAATGTGACACTAACAGTGTTTGTGAGAGTGTGATTTTTCCCTCATGACATGATACTGTCTTGCCATGGAATGTTATCATGGTCTAAATGTTGCTTTGAGGAATGAAAATAACTTGCTTTTTATATTACAAAGTTAAGGGCGCAGATTGTGTTTTCCCAATGTCCCATGAATAAACATGTGGCCATAATTGAGTAAATGATAGAGACAAGCCTTCATGGAACAGACTTAATTACAGCTTATTAGTTTCTGTCTCAGGATTCACCACCTTATACAAAAAGCATTACAAGAGTAGGATCGTGTTGCCGTGCCAATATCTAATGGCAAAATGTATCCTAGGTCTCCCATATACATGTCATCTAGCAATGTATATTGGACAGATTCAAAGCTAAGGTTATTTTTAGGAAAGCCACAGGGGTAGGGGGAGTTGTAAGTGGAATCAACTCTCAAGTCTGCTGCACAGCTTGCTGCATAAGACAACTGACAATCTGTAATAGTTAAGCAAGGGTAGATTGATTTTAAAAGTTGTGACCACCGTATTTGTTTTCTTCTCCTTTTCTGTTTTCTTGTCCCTCTGTAAAATTGTTCTGTTTCTGGAAGAATCCCACACAGTTCTTAGAACCTCTTTGCTAAGATATGTGATTGCACTTATTCTGATATGGCATCCACTACCTCAAATAATTCAGCGGTGTTATGACAACCTCATAAAAAAAATGCCTGTACAGAAATGACTGAATTGTTAAGGACAGTAACAATAAGAAATGCTTCTTATTTTATATTCAGGAAACAGCGGAAAAAGCTTCACGACCGGCTTCGGCAAAGTCTTCGATCTGAACGGAACAATATGGTGAACATAGCCAATGGGCCTCACCACCCAAACCCGCCCCCTGAGAACGTCCAACTGGTGAATGTATGTTGACTGCATCTGGTGGGCCACACTGAGCATCTCTATTCTGTTCAGGCACCTTGAAGTTTATTGTATAAAGTTCTTAGGCTCTTAGCTACTACTATCAATCAGCATAGCTTTCAGGAAACCATGTTTTTCACCAGGAAAAAAAAATAATGGGTTTGGTTACTGTAAAACCAGTAATTTTCCTCTACTGAAGTGTTCATTAGGGACTGGAATAATAATGGTAGGTTTGTTCTTGAAAGAGGCTATCACTGGAAGAACAAAATAAGACAAAGAAAAATAATAAAATCAGGATCAGAAATAATTACTTTTAATGATTTAGAAATGAAGGCTTCCTCAGTCTATTTGAGATAACTAAGCAAAGGCCTGTAAAAAAAATCTTCCTTGGGGTATGTCACAATACCTGATGATTTGCTGAGTCTGATTTCCAAGGAGAGACATCAGGACTTGGAAGATCAAGGGAGTTACCAAACATGCTTCTCAGTAGCAATGCAAGGAGACAGAAAGGCTTGCTCATTCCCTGACTCTTATCTATGGGATGTCAAGCCCGGCAGATGAAATGCATCCTTTATCTGCCAGATATTTTGTTTAGATTCTACTGAGCTCTTTGCTGTTAAATTCTACTAGATTGTAGAATATCAACTCCGGAGACTGTTTACATATCATCCTCTCAATCTGTTTGTTATAGATAAGGGCCAGCATTATACTCAGCTTGACTGGCTTTTGAAGTATTGCTCTTTATATTCTAGCATAATCCTCGTATTTTTTTTCCATTTTTCCTTCTATGTATAGTTTGTTAATAACCCAAGCTTAGAGATTAAATTGTAGTACCATTTCTTTGTTTTTATCCTGTAGGAAAAAGTGTATTTTTAGTGGCGCAAATATATTATAGACCTAAATCTAGAGCCATGGTTACCAAACTATTACCAAGTTATAGCAAAGACCTTCAAATACTGGTGGAACACTGGTGGAGCCACATGCTAATAGGCGAACATGCTGTGTTGCTTTCTTTTCCCACTCTTGTTTATTAGAATGTTCAGTAGGGTCGATAAATTACTATCAATATGTTATTAGTGCATGTTATCATACATAACAGTGAGCTTCCCCTGAGTGCCTAGAGTTTTAATTATGGCTCAAATAGTATGACATTAAACTATATTCTTTTTCAGCCTCATGTCTTCATTATGCAACAGACCTGAAAGTTGTTTGTATGGTAGAGACTCCTTGTGAGTCTCTACTGACATATCGTACATGAAACACTTAGTCCAGCAACTCTTCTTGAGAGTTCAATAGCTGTTAAATACTGTTTTCATTATAATCACTGAGCTTCAGCTGCCTCTCAAGAAGGAAGAACAGAATGTGGACCCAACAGTCACTATGTATCTTTTTCTTAAAGAAAGATAGCTAAACTTCTCTGGAAAGTCCATGTGGAATAGCCTTTCCATAAACAGAACCAGCTAGAGTTTCAAGCTAGTTTCAAGTGGTATATTTGGGGCCTTTCATGAAGATATAAAATTCATTAGACTACCCAGCTTGGAAGAAAGTGCTCTATTTATCAAGAAGATTCCTTTCTATTCCTTGTTCCTATTATTTAATTCAATTTTTTAGAAATACCCACAGTATCTAAAATATAACCTCAAGTCAACCTTTTAAACTACAATCTCTCACTGATAGAAGGCAGTACAAACAACCATAATTTGCTGATGAAAATAAAATAGACTCTAATTGCACTAAATATAAAAGCCCACTCTATTTTTGTGCTTGGTTAGCTGCTGGAAGCCCTTCAAATTTTTCAGCAGCCTTGTTAGTCTCACCACTGAAAGTTAAAAACTTCAAGGAACAGGATGCTGGTGTCTCACCATTTATAATTCTAGCTATTTGGGAGGCTAATATCTGAGGCTTATGGTTCAAAGCTAGCCTAGGCAGGAAAGTTCCTGAGACTTTTACCTTCAATTAATGACAAAAAAGCTGAAAGTGGAGCTGTGATCCAAGTAGAAGGGTGCTATCCTTAAACACAAAGACTCAGGGACCCAGACCCTAAGTTCAAGCCCCAGGACTGCATAAAAAAAAATCTTCAATGGTAGCAGTAAGGCAACATAGGCATTAGGAACGTGAAAGAGGAACACAGATCATATATATATATATATATATATATATATATATATATATATACATATACATATATACATACATACATATATATACACACACATATATGCACACACACACACACACACACACACACACACACACACACACACACACATATATAGGTTAGAAACCAAAAATAAGATAAACTTTCTCTATGCTTTTGTGTCACTCAAATATCAGTCTTCTTGACTTGCAACAGTCCTAACAAAACCAGAGATTAGAAGGAATTTGTATTGAATTGTAGTCAGCTGAAATGCAGGGAAGAAAGGGTTCTTTCTAATAAATTGTCATCATAGGCCTATATTGTATACACATCTAAGGAGTAATTTATTAATACCATTTATCTCATCTAAAAGCCAAAGTAGACAAGAGAGGATTTGCCGTGTGTCCATGAGAAATAAAGATGTTTTAAGAATAGATTTGTGAGTCAGTGTTTGTATTTGAATTTGCCTGAGCCTTTGAATTGTGTTTTTGTCTGTCTAGCAATATGTATCTAAGAACGTCATCTCCAGTGAGCATATCGTTGAGAGAGAAGCAGAGACATCTTTTTCCACCAGTCATTATACCTCAACAGCCCATCACTCTACTACTGTCACTCAGACTCCTAGTCACAGGTATGAAATAAAAACTTGCTAGCATTACCCTAAGGACAAATACTTTCACCATACCTTTTGCATTCAGTGCCTAAAAAGAGACATGGAACATTGCTGAGACACTAAATTAAATAGTCCTGTGCCTAAACAAACTTGAGACATTAGTAGCTCTCACCTTAATTGCTTATAAATCTGAGCATCAATTTTTACTTTCCCAAAAAGTAAAACAGGGACTAGCAATAATTGCCTACATTGTCTACATATGCTTTACTACTCACTAAACTGCCTCACTGCCATAAATTCTAGATAATACATAAAAGTTACGTTCTATTACTTTTAACAGCTCTGGGAAATACCCGAAAGAAGTAGTGAACCCTATAACTGAACTCTCAATTCTTAAATACTCTAATGATTTCAAACGGACTGCAGTCTACCAAAAACAACACTAGAATTTCAGTTTAGCTCCTTCAATAAAATATTTCTTCAACCTAAGCCATTCAAAGACAGAGAAACATAGTGTCATTTGATGAGTATGTATTGATGAGTGAACAAACGAATAAGCTTCAAAACAAGTCTGAATCATGATCCTCTTTCTAGCAAATACTTTCATAATTCTGTTCTTAAACAGTGTTCTAGTGAGCTCTGGTGCATCAGTTGTTTTACATATTTGGTAGAATTACTACTGTTTATTTCAATATTTGCATGTTTAAAAAAATCTCACTGCCTTTCATGTTTCCTTCCTTCCACCCCTAGCTGGAGCAATGGACACACAGAAAGCATCCTTTCGGGGAGCCACTCTGTAATCATGATGTCATCAGTAGAAAACAGTAGGCACAGCAGCCCTTCTGGGGGTCCAAGAGGACGTCTTAATGGCTTGGGAGGCCCTCGAGAATGTAACAGCTTCCTCAGGCATGCCAGAGAAACCCCTGACTCCTACCGAGACTCTCCTCATAGTGAAAGGTAAAACTGAAAAGCAATGCTACCGCAAGGAGAACCTCTGTAAGACAATCCCTGTGAGCACTGCAGTCTCACCTAAGGAAATCTACCCAATCAGAATAAGGGGCTGCAGTTCCGTGGTGCTCCTAGTTGATGAAGTCCTCCTTTTGTTTGACTGAACTCATTTCTCCTGAGCTGCTCACATCGTCCCAGTGGCTGACCAGGCATCAGACTCTTTAAAGAGCTGGAGTGATTTGATATGGAAGGTGCAGCAGACTTGGAATTCCAAGACCTAGCCTTAGACTCAGACCCTAGACAAATGGCACCAATGCTTAATAAGGACCCTTCTCTAATTCCAGTTTGCAGTTGTCCAAACTTTAATTTGGTGGTGGAGCTGGCCTCATGTTCTCCTACATTCTGTCTTACCTTCCAGCCTCAGTTAAATCAAGTCAGGGGCTATGTCACTGCTGGTGGTCATGGGGGAACACATACTTGCACCCCACCATATCATATCCCATTCCAGAAGGGACAAATAAAGTATTTTGTATGCTGCATGTGGCAGTCTTCACAGGTGGATTTCAAAGTAGATATTGCATTTGCCTTGGCCTCTTCATTCCAAATTGTTTTGCCATTCTATTGGGGAGATAGGGTCAGGTTTCAGGGAGTAACCACAAAGGTAAAATAAAGAATGGAGGAAAGCGAACTGAACGACATGTTAAATAAGGATATGGAATCATATCTTCTCTTTGTCCATTTTCATGTATGCTGGAACAAATTTCCACCCAGTCAGGCTTTTAGCCCATCAACAAACTGTTCCATAATGGTTTTCAATCACCTGGATTGTTTTTTTAGTGACATATCATTCTAAAAGACACCTTTGCTATACGGATAGGATTCCACAAAGAATAACAAAGGAGGATCCTGTGGGAATTCTCAGGTCATATATGAGCCTACTAAGCATTTACTATCTTTCTCCTCAAATGGCATTTTAGAGCTGTATGGAATTTTGGGGATTTGCATTTCTCAAGAACCTATCTATGAAATAGCAGTCAGAATCCTAAACTGGCTTCAAATATTAGCCTTAAATTCATGTACTTACATCTTTACATATTAAGGAGAAGAAAAGTCTACCTATGGTAGTTCAGTCTTTTTGACACAGGAAAAGGAGGCTGGGGTAATGTTTTGTCATGATGACCTGTGATGGTAATCTTTGAAAGCTGACCTATCTCTGTTGGATAGACTTTCTTGCATACCCAAGATACTACCTAGGACTGCAAAATGTACCTCAAATGTAAAGATCATACAGAGAAATGATAAATCACTTGTGTGTGTGTTGATTGGATTTGGATAAGCATCTCTCAGAGTGCAACTTAAGACCCTTCCAAACAAACAAAAAAAAAATCTGTAGACTCAAGGCTCCAATATTTCAGTCTCTGACATACTTTCCCAGTTTAGACACAGCTGGATCTCACATCCATATCACTGTGAGTCATGGATGTTACTAGACCTCCTCTTCCTGTTAGCTAGAGTTCAGCTAGTGGTGTCCTGTGTCATCACAAGTCACATCAAATTAGACTCTGCTAATGTCAGGGGGAGGAAAAGTCCTTTAGTGCTATGCTTTGGTGACAATTTTTTAATCATACATTGAGAAATGTGACTCATCCTCTTGGGTGCAAAAAGGCAGCCCATCTTATTCTGGCAAAGGCATGGGGAATGTGCTTTGGGTGTCCTGATGGCTATTTTCACTGCACAGTATTAAGCACAGAATATCATCAGGTATCTTGGTACTACCTGCCCACAAAAAATGGCTAGGCATTTTGACTGAGGTTTGCATACACATCTGTACGGAAGCCTAGGGATAATATAACCATAGGCATTACAAGAGAAGTCTGGTGGGGCACTGGTGGTTTATACTTATAGTCCTAGCTACTCAGAAGGCTGATATCTGAAGACTGCAGTTCAAAACCAGCCCAGGCAGGAAAGGTCATGAGGTTCTTATCTCCAACTCTCCCCACCCCACCCCCAAAAAAAACCAGAAGTAGAGGTGTGGCTCAAGTAACCTTGAACACAAAAGCTCAGGGACAGTGTCCAGGTCCTGTTCCAAGTCCCACAACCCATATCAATGAGAGAGAGAGAGGAGAGAGGAGGGAGGGACAGAGAGAGAGGAAGGGGGAGAGAGAGAGAGAGAGAGAGAGAGGGAGAGAGACAGCACTGTTGGAAGAGAGGTAGACTGGCGATTGGACATACTCTCCATTGTGGTAACTATGAGACCAACACCAGGGTCTCTCAGGCTTCCCTTTGTATGTGTTGGACCCTGGAATGGATAGTTGAAAATTGAATGTTAACTAGAAGCATTTTGTGGGAAAAAATGAAAAGCACACAAATGTATTACACTGTTGTCAGGAATAAATCTAAGTTACTATGCTCTTTTTTTTTCATAAGACATAACCTTATAGCTGAGCTAAGGAGAAACAAGGCACAAAGAGCCAAATGCATGCAGATCCAGCTCTCAGCAACTCATCTTAGATCTTCTTCCATTCCCCATTTGGGCTTCATTCTCTAAGACCCTTTGGCCTTTAGGAAGGTATAGTATTTAAGTAATATATTTTTTTTTCCCTTCCAAATCCCTGAGCCTTGGTCCTCATAAGCTGAGAAGTTTTCAGGACCTAGAGCCCTCTTTTCTTGGCTCTTATCTAAACTCATGATGAAATAGAAAAATCCCCAAAGCCTTGAAACAAACTAGACAATTTACCTGATTTTTTTTTGCATGTACTGCTGTGAGGCAACTCTTGGCTACATAATTTTAGATCCCAAGGGTATTGAATTTCCTAGTGTAAAAATGGAGACGCATACAATGAAAAGTCTTCTTTGACGCTAGCCTATCATGAAACTCTGTCCCCTTACCCTCCCTGCTCTATGCCTTTTATTCCACCACACTTATGCAGGGTATTCTGTGCTCACACAGGTATGTGTCAGCCATGACCACCCCGGCTCGTATGTCACCAGTAGATTTCCACACGCCAAGCTCCCCCAAATCGCCCCCTTCGGAAATGTCTCCGCCTGTGTCCAGCATGACGGTATCCATGCCTTCCATGGCAGTGAGCCCCTTCATAGAAGAAGAGAGACCTCTGCTTCTTGTGACGCCACCAAGGCTGCGGGAGAAGAAGTATGATCACCACCCTCCACAATTCAACTCTTTCCATCACAACCCTGTGCATGAGAGTAGCAGCCTTCCCCCTAGCCCCTTGAGGATAGTGGAGGATGAGGAGTATGAAACAACCCAGGAGTATGAGCCAGCTCAAGAGCCTGTTAAGAAACTCACCAACAGCCGGAGGGCCAAAAGAACCAAGCCCAATGGCCACATTGCCAACAGGTTGGAAATGGACAGCAACACAAGCTCTGAGAGCAGTAACTCAGAGAGTGAAACAGAAGATGAGAGAGTAGGTGAAGATACACCTTTCCTGGGCATACAGAACCCCCTGGCAGCCAGTGTTGAAGTGACACCTGCCTTTCGCCTGACTGACAACAGGACTAACCCAGCAGGCCGCTTCTCCACCCAGGAAGAATTACAGGCCAGGCTGTCTAGTGTCATTGCTAACCAAGACCCTATCGCTGTATAAAACCCAAATAAACACATAGATTCACCTGTAAAACTTTATTTTATATAATAAAGTATTCCACCTTAAATTAAACAATTTATTTTATTTTAGCAGTTCTGCAAATAGAAAACAGGAAAAAAAACTTTTATAAATTAAATATATGTATGTAAAAAAATGTGTTATGTGCCATATGTAGCAATTTTTTACAGTATTTCAAAATGAGAAAGATATCAATGGTGCCTTTATGTTATGTTATGTCCAGAGCAAGTTTTGTACAGTTACAGTGATTGCTTTTCCACAGTATTTCAGCAAAACCTTCCAGATATTCAGTTTTTGCTGGCTTCTTGTGCATTGCATTCTAATGTGGACTGGATGTATGATTTGCAAGACTTGCAATTGTCTGTTTGCTTGTAGCAGCACCCCAACCAGTACGTCTTGTAATGGCACATCCATCCAAGTACTCTTCTCTTTTGTATGAAATTTTCTTTGCTTTTTGAATATGAAATGAGTTCTGTCGACTCTGTCAGCCAAAGGTTTGCTTCACCGGGCTCTGAGATAATAGTAGATCCAACAGCATGCTACTATTAAATACAGCAGGAAACTGCATTAAGTAATGTTAAATATTAGGAAGAAAGTAATACTGTGATTTTTAAAAAAAACTGTATTATTATTCAGAAGATAGCTTGCTTTTGCTAAAAAGAGCTACCACTGACTTTATTTTAACTTATTTTTTTTTTCCTTCAAAAAGAACAACCATTTTAGGGATAGCTTAGAAAATGGGTTCTGGCTTGCTATCAGGGTAAATCTAACAGCTTCAATAGAAGAGGACTCAATTCCACTTTCTCTCTAAGAAAATGATTTAGCAGCTCATCTAGTTGAACAGCTGGTGGGTTTTTTTTTCTTCGCCGATTCGGGAACTATTGATTGGCTGTGTCTTCTCAGCTCTGGAAGAAGCAGATCATGGCACAACAAAAAAAAATCCAACCCAGATAGCACACTCACCAACCTGTCTCCAACACTTGTATAGTGAAAAGTGTCTGTTGTACACAGCAATGGCTTGTCACCATAGGAAAATGTTCCTATTGTAGCATATTTAGAAGGGGGAGGGGGAAATGTGTAGAAGACACAGATAGAGAGTGGTTGTGTGACTTGGTTGACATTTTAAAGTATGGTTGACCTCTCCTTTCTGCCCCTTCTGTTTCTCTTGTTTTTTCAACGTTGCCCTGATTGACTTGTAACTATGCACGAACACTTCTTGTCAGAATTGGCCACTGTGCATGTGATTTGTGATGAGCAAGAACCTTCCCCGGTGGTAATTCACTAGGAATGGCAATAGTGTTGGAAAAAATTGCACCTTTACTTGCAGAAGTAGCCCCTACCTCTGGACTGACGTCTCCAGTGACAGCCTATACCACCCATTTTCTTCTCTCTTCATTTTTGCCTTACCGCCACAAAAGCAGGACTAAGACTGGGCTGCACTTGGCATGTTCTCTTGTGACTGCAAATCCAGTGAAAGCCTACAGATATTGATATTTGAACTCACTGCTCATGCAGGAAAATAAGAAAAGTAGCCCTAAACCATGCAAATCCTCTTTCGATTCCCTGGCTGGTGTCTGCCAAATCAGGTCTGGAGCTTTGCTTATGCTCACATGGCTTCCTAGGATCTATGAAGCAACATGGAAAACCAGTTAGCAGAGGGTTCACGAAGTCAATGACAATCGATGTGTCTTGTTCACAAGTGAACTGAATCTCTTTCTTCCACCAAATCCTATGCTACAGAGGAGAGGGAAGAAACGACATGCAAGTAGATCTTAGAAACAAAATGTTGGCTGGGCATATGTTAATGTCATTATACTCCTATATGTTCCTACACTCTACAGAGATGTTTGTTGGAAGGTCTTTGAAGTTATACTTAATGTTTGCTATCCCATACTTTTTGTCCCTTTTATACACCCCACTTTCTCTGTGGTCAACATTGATCTTGTTGCTTTTTAACCTACACAGAGGTGTCCCCTCAAGTTGTACTGATTTCCCAATTCCAGAGAAATGAGACCACTCCTGGAAGGAAAATAACTCAGCTTCAAAGAAGTTCTCCAAATTATTTTTAATATCACCTTTGAATATCTTAGCTCTTTCTTCAATATTTTCATAAAGCAATTTCTATCATTATTTTCAAGACCCTTAAACATCTTCTTCCAAACTCCTTGGGCAGCAGGGTATGCAAATGTCCTCTTTGGAAAAATAAATAAAATTTTCTGATTAAAAAAAATGAGCATGAGCAGCCTTTCCCTCAGTATAAGCATTGCTGCAAATGCTAATATTTCAAAGATACAGGAAATTTTATTTTCAGCCTGATTCTGGTCATTCAGAAAAGTGGTATGTTAGTTAAGACACCTTTTTCCCCTATGGAGCAAGAAATTCCTTTGATAAGAAAAACCAGTTGGCTGTCCAAAGCTACTTACTTCAGCCCCCAGATTTATGTTCACAGGGACATTGCAGGGAGGTGGCTTTAATGCCACCTCTCGTTCTCAGTCATCCCTGTTTATAAATTCAGGCAGTGCCTTGGTAGCCCAAAGGAATAGAAAACCTATGTTCCTGACATACAGAAAGCCGTCTTGGGTTTTAAGGCCATGGAAATTACCCAGAAGCTTGACAGCAACTTGTTATTCTGGGTCTGAAATCATATTCCCCCAAAGGGTATGAAGTGAAGCAGAGAATGTACATAATGTCCTTTTTTTCTCATGCAACATTCATTTTCTTCTCTGTTTTCCCTCTTTTTCTTTCTTTCTTTCCCAACAGTGCCTGGTGGACAGCCTTCAGATTTATCCAAACTGGTCCTCTGTGTAGGAAAATGTGTCCCAACTAGCTATCTGCTATATTCTTCTTGTTCCTTCTGACTGTCTTTATATAGGTGGAGTTGATCCAGGGTAACTTGCTCCGAATTTTCTTTTCTTTTCATTTTTGGCCTGAGGATATAGGGCACATGGCTCATATTGACAAAAATATGGAAGGTCTTTTAGTACTGGCTGCATTCCACCAGCTACAGAATTTCTGTTTTCAAAGATCCATTAAACACTGTACAGAAATGCAGATAAAAAGGAAATGGCCACATATCACAAGTTTTATTTCATATTCTTTTGTAAATACATATTGTACATTGCTTGGATTTTTTAAATCATTTTCTGTCTTTATGAGTTAATGTCAGTTTTTACTCTCTCAACTGTGTAACATTGTAAATAACATAATGTCCTTTATTATTTATATTTAAGCATCTAACATAGAGAGTATTGTTTTCATATAAGTTTAAGATAAATGTTAAAAAATATATGTTTTTCCTTTGCTTTAAAATTATGTACCTTTTTCTTTTCTTTTTTTTGTTTGTTTGAAAAGAATAATTTATTGTTCAGGAGAAAGAATGTATATGTAATTGAAACTATTTGAAGAATGCACATTTGAAGGCCGTGAGGTACTGATAAACTAAAGAATTTATTATCCAAAATACTAAGCAATAAGTAATTGTGATTTATTTAAAGTTTTGTTCATTTTCCCGAGAAAGTCATACTGCAATAAAAAAAAAAAAACAAATGCGATCTGTGGAGACTTGAGTGTGTTGTTCAGCAGACTAATGTTTCAGTCTGTTAGACCAGCACCTTCTGTCTTGCTGTGACAGTTGTACTAACATAGTGGAAATGTGCTTCTTGGATCTCACCATCATCTTGTCTGTCTGTTGCTTTTGCCACACAATTCATCCTTGAGTCATCTGCCACCTGGTTCTGTTTACCTCCCTCCTTGTTGAAGGGGCCACAAAGCAGTGGGAGGCTTCCATCCTTGTCTACTCTACCTCCCATACACAATGGCATCAGAGAGAAACAGTTCATGGAACAACTGCCAGGATTCAGCTTGCTACTATGTTGTCTAGTGACAGCCAGAAACTTCTTGAGATTAATGGAAAATGTCACTGTGCCCATCCCATTTGATCAGGAAAGGAAAAATAAATGCTATCAGGGTTCAAGTGGTCCAATAGCCACAATCTCTAAAAGGCAGTCATGCTAAGCATTCTTATGGCTTCAGTAAATTTGCTTTCCATCAGACCCATGGCTCTATAGAAAGATAAGGCCCCATCAAATTCATTCCTCTCATTCTATCAATAAATCAAACTGATGCCCATCTTACAGCTCAGGGAGGGGTTTATGCATGAAATATCTCTCGTGTTCTAAGGCTTGTCATAGAAATGAAGACATTACTTTTCTTACTGAAATTAACCTACACAAAAGCCATATTTTGACAAACAGATATTTATGTGCTACTTTTTTATATATTTCAGGCATTTTACTCAGTGTCAGAAAAGTTAAGTGCTTCTAAAAGATAGGAAATGGGCATGAGCAATCTTGGGGGTTCCAAATGCCTGCCTTTGTAGTTTGACCATACCTGAGATTTTCCATCCAAGTCTACCTCCATATATGTACACAATTTCTGTTACCTAGTAATAGCTCCACAAGAGTCATTTCCAAACACCGTGTATGTCTAGGAGATTTAAATAGAAGCTTTCAACTATGCATTCCTGAGGCCACAACACCAATTCACAACCCACTAGCTTCTCAGCCAACCAGCCAGGCAGCAGCTCAGAAAGTACAGAATATTTAGAAAGTTAAAATTTAAATATGTTGATGTTTCATCCATTCCCCATTCTAACTGAAGACTACAAGCAACAATTTTAGTAGTTCAGGATAAAATTGTTTCCATAGGCTACCATTCTTTCAAGACAATCTTTTACTTCTAGTCAAATGACAGATCTTGATAATAATTACATTTCAGTTATAGTTATCTCTTGAATATTGAACCCAAGCCAGATGTAGAAACTAGCAAGTCTCTGTCCTTTCTACCAGTAGTCTTTACTCTCTGTTCTCATGATAAATGGCCAGAGGACTTGTCAGGGAGTTGGGGGTAAATCAAGCCAATCTGCAATCCAGATATGTAAGTTGCAGTAAAATTAAGTTATGCAAATTACTACCCCCCAAAATTTATTTGGTAGGAAATGGAAACATAGCTCACCTATGAAAAATAAAGTCTTCCTGTTGGTACCAGAAATAACAATATTCCTACTCTTTAAGAATACTGTTGGATAAGGTAGTCTTGTTGTTTCCTGCATATGTCTTTTAGCATCTTGATAGTATCCTCATATGGCAGCTATTGGACCTGTCTATTTAGCTATTGGTTTTGAATGTCAAGCTTAAAAACATCATTTATTATAGAGAAATGACTTGTTTTGTAGAGATAACTCATCATAATCTACCAGATCCATTTAAAAACAGACATAGTAAAAGAGACCAGTGATTCCTAAAAAGGAGGCAGAGACTGGAGTAATAATGATACCTAGGATCTTTTTCTAACTCCTCTTCGAATGGACATATTAGGAACAGAACAAGATACAGAAAAAGACATCTCTTCTCATTACACAGCATACTGATGAGGAGAAAGAATTATCTCTGTAGATTTAAACATCTTTAATGGCTTGTGCATAGATTGGCTCACACACAGGGAAATGAACTATTAAATATAAATAATGTTCTATAATCTCTTATGACTCAAAAAAACCTTCTTTATATCTTTTCTCGTTTTCTCCTGATATAATAAATGATGGGGAAAATT